ACAGCTTTGTAGAGGCACTCTTTTTCCCTGCTTTCCAAAAGAACTGTTAAGTTTTTAAAGCCTTCATTACTTGAAAAACAACAGAACACAGAGGTAGCGAGGTGATTGGAGCAAATCAGACTTGAGGATCATCGCTGAGACGTCTTGCGTTGATGGGCGTCGATCTCAGAATTTTCCTTTGCCAGGAAAGCCAACTCCGTTACCGATTCCTTCAACACAGTGTTAGGCAACGATTATAATGAGGATACACAGGATAGCAGTAACAAACCTGGGAAGCCGCCAAACTCCTCTTCTGAATCGGTCCTTCCATAGAATCACCTCCTTTCGGGCCCCTTGGGCCTCCTTTTTGTCCACGTGGGCCACCATGTTTCGGTTTGAACTCACGAAGAACGAACATAAGGACACGGTAGACCTGAACGTGAACATTCAAATAGGATATCCTTTCTGTCACCTGGCTTCCTTGATCCCCATTCGAAAGGAGGACAAGCAAAAGTGCAAAATCTAACCTTAGGATTTCCCGCAGAGAGAGCCTTGATGGCATCGACCATTTCTTTCGCAGTTTGGTCTTCGTTCTTCACAATGGCTCCTATCTGCTCCACTGCCGCGGGCAGGGCATTTATAAGCTCTGTTACATTCTTTCTGAAGCTCATTCGCGATATTGGTCATGTTGGTGTTGAACTCTTGAACCTGAGCCTGAAAAAAATGACTGACTTTCTCGTTTCAGGCTCTTCACTGGGTTCGATATCAATTAAAGCTTGAGTAGAACCTAAAAAGATCTGCCACATACCTCAACTCCGTACTTCTGCGCCCAGGTTAGGATGTCCTTTTTCTGGTCGGCAATCTTTTCATCTTTATTGAACACAATCGCAAAGAACTCCTTCCGTGCTTCCTCAGTGACATTCTTGAGGAACGGCGGTGGTGGTGGCCCGTGGTGACGTCCACGGCCGGCCACATCAGTGGGACCACCTTCGCCACCAGGACCGCCCTTAGCGCCTGGATGGCAAAGTGCCACGCCGGCAATGGCAAAAACGATGATAAATGTGTTCATTCTGAAATAATACCAACTGTAGAAGCGTAAGAATTGGGACTTTGAGGGAAGGTGCTAAAATGTGGTTTCAGTGCAAATTTCAACACTTATGGACGGTCTCAATGAAATGGGAGCAAACTAGGAAATGATGTGGAAGCTCGACCAGCGTGGAATTCTCTGAATGTCACACCTTATATGCTGCCCGTTTGACACTGATCTGTGATTTCTCTCCGTGAATCATGACTATGCGGAGGTGTAGTGCCATCCTGCCGCATTGATACCAAAAATTATAGCGAGGACGTGAGCGAGGGTTTAGTTTGTTCAGGGGGCAGACAAAAAATCGTCCGCTGTGCAACTATTTTGGAAAGAAGGCGCCCATAAGCGATCACTGAGATGAAAGATTCCGTTATTGCTACTGAATCCGCATGGCCTTTCGCTCAGATGTGCCATGCATTTCACTCCACTAAAATTTGCAGACAGCCTTGGTTGAACAACGAAGCCCATTGCTCCAGCAGTAGTTCTAACATACTTTGGGCAATTATCTCTTAGCTAAGACAACATAATAAAAATAAAAATAAAAGTGCGCCATGCAAACCATACCTTCGACGGATACGTAATTCCTGTCTGAGAACGTAGACTGGAGACTCCGTAACATTCGACTGGCTCGTTGTGCACTCCGAATCAGGGTCAACCGTTACGTTGGACCGATATTGGAGCGACGTTGGACCGATGTTCACCGCTCTCCGCGCCGGCATTCACTCTCGCCACCCGCGAGCCGTCTGTGTCTCCGTGCGTACGTTCACTCTCGGCATTACTCTCGTCGTCGCGTTGGACTTTGTCCAACGGACGGTTGACCCTGGTCCGAATAAATCGAAATGTGCACCACCCTTTCGACGCCTTCCCTAACGGAGACAAGATGACAAGTGTCTGATTGAGTATCCCATCCAGAAGCATTGCGCGACCTCGTGTAAAAACGATTTTGCTGCTGTTGTTCTGATTCATCTCTTTTCTTCACCTGAGGCTTGTTTCTTTCTTTCAGTCAGGGTTAACCCGCAATTTTCCCTTCTGGTCCCCCCCCCCACTCAGTAACAACTGCGTTCAATAATGATACAGCCACCTAAAATTTGTTCGAAAACTTAAAGTTCATAGAGTTTCTGAAAAACTGTCCAGATAGAAATGTGACAAATTTCATGGCGAGTTCAGATATCAACACAAAAATCCATGTCGAAAACACTAAAAAATTTTGTGCTTATTTTTTCAGAAGAGGTCGATTTTCCTATGTTCAAAAATGATACAGCCACCCCGTGTTTCTTCGTTGAAATTCATTTTTGCTTCATGAAACTGATTCGCAGTAATCAGGCTTTCACCTTAATGTTCCCACAAGATGAAAAAGACAGTTGGATTTTGAAAAAGGGTAAACTGGAGCAAAAAGGGACCAGGAATCGTCAAGCAGTCATATTGCGAACAAATTAAGTCAAGGCTCCAATACGGTTAACAATCTTTTCTGGAATCCTGTAGGTTATGGAACAACGAAGAGCTCTGGATGTTCATCATTGCTTTTTGGTCAATTTAAACTTCGCATTTTGGGGAAACATTTCAATTTCATCGAACAGTGCCCGGAATTCCAGTCTTCTTTCAAAATTAAACTTTCAATGGATATTGTTTGGGATGTGTTGAAGATTTTCCGAGGTCATTCTTAAATGGAATTCAAAGAAACCTTGTTTGTGAAAAGAAATTCTTTTGAAAACTGAGACATTTTTTGCTCGAAAGTGTAGCGCCACGTCCACTGGAGCAACATCAGTTCTTTTGTCTGTCGTGTCTTACTTTCTGTTTATTTTATTTCGAGTTTTTCTTTCCTCATTAAAGTTTTCCTTTCATTAGACTCCTATGAAGCGAAAAACATTGAGAGAAACGCAGACAGAAAGTAAGGCATAACGACAAAAGAACTGATCTTGCTCCAGTGGACGTGGCTACACTTTCGAGCAAAAAATGTCTCAGTTTTCGAGAGAATTTCTTTTCACAAACAAGGTTTCTTTAATTCTCCATTGAAGAATGACCTCGGAAAATCTTCAACACATCCCAAACAATATCCATTGAAAGTTTAATTCTGAAAGAAGACTGGAATTCCGGGCACTGTTCGATGAAATTGAAATGTTTCCCCAAAATGCGAAGCTTAACTAGGCCTAGAAGCAGTGATGAACATCCATAGCTTTTCGTTGTTTCGGTCCCACCTACAGGAATCCAGAAAAGGATTGCTAACCGTATTGAAGCCTTGACTTAATTTGTTCGCAATATGACTGCTTGACGATTCCTGGTCCCTTTTTGCTCCAGTTTACCTTTTTCAAAATCCAACTGTCTTTTTCATCTTGTGGGAACATTAAGGTGAAAGCCTGATACTGCAAATCAGTTTCATGAAGCAAAAATGAATTTCAACGAAGAAACACGGGGTGGCTGTATCATTTTTGAACATAGGAAAATCGACCTCTTCTGAAAAAATAAGCACAAAATTTTTCAGTGTTTTCGACATGGATTTTTGTGTTCGTATCTGAACTCGCCATGAAATTTGTCACATTTCTATCTGGACAGATTCCCAGAAACCTCTATGAACTTTAAGTTTTCGAGCAAATTTTAGGTGGCTGTATCATTATTGAACGCCAGTGTCTTTTATAGATGCAAATGAGGCTGTCTCGAAGGTGGCGAAAGATTTGGTAAAGTGGACTTAAGAAACAACCCACACTGCCATGGCAAGCCATCTGATACTCCTCCTTGCTTTTTTTCCTCAAAGCCGAGGGTGGACCTTCTGAGGGGAAGAAGGGCTTCAGTCTACGTAAAGCAATTTTTCTTTTTCGCCCGACGTCCTGTCCCTCCCATGCTCACGCTCCCCACGTTCCGAACTGTAGTGTCCGCAAATCGTTTCCGTCCTTTGATCAATTTGAGGCTTCAGAGCAAGCATCTCAATAATGGCGGAGAACAAATTGAAAACAACTAGCACAAAAATAAGATGAGCCGACTGTAACCTAGCATTTTGTAAATGAGTTTGAACATATTACTATGTCTGTCATACATCTACGCACTTTTAGCACGTTTTCAACAATATTAATTAACACAATTTGGGTAGACGCCGCCTTCGGCTCCCTCGCCTTTTAGGCCGATGTCAGACTTTGCGAATCGCGCGATTCGCTAGCGTCTGCGGTCGCGTCGCGGCCAGTGAATCACTCAATTGGCTGGTACCGCAACGCGACCGCGGACGCTAGCGAATCGCGCGAATCGCTAGTAGCGAATCGCGCGATTCGCAAAGTCTGACATCGATCTTTACCCTCGATTGCCGTAGTGTACTTTTTGTGAGTTTGTTTCACTTTGGAAACCGAATCTTCATGCTGAAACGTTGTGTGCTGTTCCAGTGACCACAACTGATATATTCATGCTGAGAAAGAATGCAAGAATTTCCCGTGGAGGATTCCTTTAATCACACCATTTCTACTTGGCGACCCGTATCCGGCTGTTCTCTCAAAGTTCTGCCGTCCGAAGCAAGGAGCGACTTGTTTGGTGTGCTCTAGCAATTCTTTTTTCTGTTCCCTTCACTAACAAATCGACGGGAATCTATTTCCTTATTTAGAACATATTCACAACGCCTTAGCTGCCGCAGAATGTGCCTTCTGAGCGAAAGAGACGGCCATAATGATGCTACACTTGTACTCACATTGTTTTTGCGTCAAGTCGCTTCGAATCACATTGTGAAAGTGGATGCATTCAGCCTGAATTCCTTTTTATTTATTTTCAATTGTACAGAATTAAATGCTTATGTGCCCCTCCGAGGAGAGAGTTCAGGGAATTATTTGATATTCGCCGTATTCCAACCGCACCCAAAATATGATGGTCCAGATTCAAATGATGTCACTTTTCGCATATTTATGAGGCTTCTCAATTCCGTGGAAAATTTATGGAGAAAGTGTTCACATTTATGGTTGTTCGTGGATTTTGTGGTCCACATAAAATTTATTTCACATTTCAGAGCATTTAGATTGGCTTTCTGATTGTTATGGTTGCGTTTTTACTCAAAATATGACCATATTTTAGTTGCGATTATATAGACTATGCGAAAATCACACGGCTCAGTGGCTATATAAAAAGAGCAAGCGGAACGGCTTATGTAGTTCCCTTTGTCGTGCAAGGGACATGGTCCGATCTTTTCTCCAAACACAGCTTACATTTCTACCTTTTTCAAATCCTTCTGATCGTCTTGAAGATGGAATTTCAGAATGTTCACCGCAATAATTCTTCCAACCGTAGTGTGCCTGCTACTGATAACGACGAGCGACGCTCAATTCCCAGGTGAACTTAGAGAAAGCTCCTGAAGCAGTGCATCGCGCCGTTCTCGTGGAAAATTACAATGACGGTCTTACAAGGGAAGGATACCAGGTCGAAGTGGCCATTTGTAACGAGACATACACCACTAGATGTGTTTTTGGACGCTGATCTCGAATCTGCTCTCCAAATCTGCGGAACGATTCTCTGAACGTAGTTATGAAGCGAGATAGTGCAGTGGCAGCGGCCCGGGCCGACGGGAAAGAGGTCGTGAGATCGAATTCTTGGCGAGTTTTGACTTTTGCTTTTCCTGAGGACATTGTTAAGGAGACCCTCATCTATGCTAAGTCATCAGCACTCGCCTATATTACAAGTGTGAGGAGCTAGCGAGGAGCTTCGATCAAGTGTGCGCGCCATTTGCAAATGACCGCCCCTGGTACCCGTAGCGCACGCGTAGGCAATTTCGTGCCAAGCAGAGGTGATATTCGTGTTCAGCGCGTCAAACTACCCCTTTCAACAACTTTTGGTCCAAATCTAAAATTTTGACCTAAAGTCGAAAATGTGGGCAGTCATCTATCCATCAACCCACTGTCAGAGTCCTGGTCATGAGATGGAATTAAACTTTCAATTCACTTGTGAACAGAAATATGTCTTTCTTATTTCCTTGCGTTATCCGAAGAATTAAATAGAACTTTTCCAAGTACACACTCGCTGTC